TCATAATATGAAACCTAGGATTTTGTTTGGACTGTCAAATATAAATCTAACCACAACCAGAATCGTCATCACTACAGATGAAAAGTCACAAATTTTATAACAGACAAATTAGACTGAATAATGAATGGGCCTGTCAAAGTAAAGTCAATTTTTTGTTTTCAGGTTAAAACAAATCACACTATAGCTTAATAGTAAAAGTAAAGAGCAATATAGAGAGTGCTTAAACTTGAGAACACGAAGCCAACAGATGACGTACGAAAGATACCAAGTGGATTTGTCATGTGTATATGTATATAAGGTTCATTTGACTGACTATAAACAAATGCCAATATAATAAATAAATAAGTAGCAAAGTGAAGAAATTAATAAAAACATGAAAAGCTAACATCTTTAGCTTTGTCAAAAATTAGAAACGCTAGATTATTTACAAACTATATCTAAATCTAAACTGATCAACCCCATTTTTATAAGACAGATTGCATTCTTAAATTATGTTCAAGTTCAATATTTGAAACACATACAAAAAAAAAGTGTTTTTAACAAATCCTCTTATCCTCTTAATCCTTTGATATGTCAGTGTACATCTTTAGCTAGAAGAAGATCTTAAGTCTGCAAAGTTAGGGTATAGAACTGTCAGGTTGGTTCATCTTTGCCTAATGGGGGCGTTGTGCCTTTCCGCATTGTTCGTACGCTAACCTCTAGTTGGCGCATGTACAAACGCTTATTAAAGCTTAGATGGGCTTTTGGCACAAGGTCACCACTTCAATCTAATCTAACTATAATCAAGTCTAATCCGATATGATTAGCAAACTATATGTAATTATTTATCTTAAAAATCAGATTACTTATATATGGTTAGGTTTATATAAGGAAGCTATAGGTCTACGACGTTTCCTTCAATACGATACAAAGAACTTGACAAACCACTTTGAATATCACGATAAATAGAAACTAAGTTCGGATGGACCACTTTTGAAATAAAGTAATCTATATGACTACATGTTTTTACTACATGTTAATATCTATATATACTGAAGACATTACATTCTTGGTCCACACTTGCCAATATAAATTATAGGCCTAGGGGAAATGAATGATTTATGTGTATATTATATTTAGCTTGATATCATCTTTATATATTCTGAAGCTAGTCTATTTATTAATAGAAAAAGGGCGTGAAGCAGAAAATGACAGAAAGAGAGGGAAAAGGTGAAAATAGTAAAAACTATCAATTATCTAAATAGAATTCTAAACTAGTTAGCAATTATTTGAATGTATTTAATTAATTACAAATAATTTAATTACAAACAGCAAAAACACACATAATAAAACATAAAGAAAAAGATTTGGTTTTTACTATAATTAATAATAGTTCAATTCATAACAATTAGCACTTACATTCCAAGATCTACAAAACATTCGTCAAAAGATAAGACAGCAATTATATTATATATTTTGATTAATCACTCAGTCGGGTCTTTGATGCAAAAACTTGTGAAAAACTTGACACTAATTAATAATATTAAATGATATGAAATTATTAAATATTAACTTAATATTACAAGTGTGTCATATTCTATTATTAAGTAATTTCACACAAATCTGAAAAAGTCGGTTTACTTTACGTAAATGCATCGGAACCGATTATTCTCAAAACCTACCTCATGAAACATCCAATTTTTGGCCTTGTTTTCGATTTTTTTTGTTTAATTAATTAAACAATGAAGGCTTAAAATTGAATAATTGACAGTCGTGATAAAAATATTAAGTATTTTTTATTTTATTGATAACATTTTAATCATATTTTTCTGGAGATCGTTTAATTTAGTCGGTTCATTAAGCAAATAATTACTATAAATACGAACACACATACCCTACAATCAGTTCTTTAAATAAATACTTAATTATACTTTTCAAGAAATCTTAATTATATTATGTTTAAGTTTGATATTTATTTGCATAATTTGTTAATTTATCCTAAATGTCCTATAATTCTGTGTATATTCAGCCAGCGATTGTCCTGTCATTGGCAGGACGCTGATCTGCAGTCATTTTAGATAAGAAAATTCATACCATATACCATATGAACTATTGATAATGTTTTAAAATGTTAAGATAGATCAAGACATACATCTTCAAGGTTTTCGGAATTTGGTTTTGTATCAAATCAAATCTTCCTTGTTCTGTATCAATTTGAGCAATCATTATAGATGATGAAAATTCTAATTTTTAATTACTATACCTATCAGTAGTTTTTAATCCGAAATTAAAAATGTTCCTTGCTCATGGTATTATAAATATTTTTATGATTTTTATCTCATAACAAAAATCAAAGGGAAAGTCATAACAAAAATATTGCCACATTATCATAGTCCGTGATTTTAGAATACATAAATTTCATTTGGGCCAAATGTAGACTCACATTATAACTAGTCTAAGGTTATTATGTCATTATGTAGTACTAAAATCTGAATAAATGTTTCTCTTTTTTCCACTACTTTTATAGAAGAGCAAAGATGAGAAAAGCGCGGGGGGCAGTTCAGCGATATAGAACACCTTCCTGTTTTTATATTTGCAAGGCATTGTAATTCCACTTTCACTGGATTGCTCTAATGTGCTTTCAGACTGATAAAATATCGGAATAATACTTAATTAAGTTTTCAAAACTCCATCTATCTACAGGATTGACCATATTAGGTGAACCCATCTATGGTCACTTATCAAAGGACAAGGAAAGTGAGAATGATTAATGATAGCACGTGTTTGAAACGCAAACCTTAGAAAATCTTAGTATGGACCAGCATATACTACAAAGAAATTTACAGCAGTACAAAGTTCAGTTATATTCAAAACAACTTTTTAGGAGTGAAAACTTAACGTGAATAGAGAAAAAATGACAAAGAGATAAGTGCGCCGTTGAAGAATAAAATTATGCGTTTACACGACGATTTTTGTCTTCTGGTACTTTTGATAACCTCACGCATCCAAATAAGAAGCGAACGAAATGATCTGAAAAAATCGCGACAGTAAAAGTCAGTGTCATTCTGCGTAATAAAGCATATCTCGGACCACTCTATGGCATAAAATCCATTGTGATTTAAACTTATATCTGTACAAAGTCTAATTAACTCAGCAAATGTTGTCACTGATCAGCCTTGTCGTTTGAAATATAAAAGTTTTCTCGTAAAATAACTATAACCCAGGCGAATTTTTGGCCTGTTGGGATCTATGTGTATCTACAATAAAAATCTCCAAACAGAGAAATTTTTGGATAGGAAATTGAAAATTAAATAGATAGATTAGTGAACGTGGCTTTCGACGTCGTAAATTGACCTGCTGGTATATCATATGTTCTCAGCTGAACCCCTAAATCAGTGAAGCCTCGTTCAACCGTTGAACCACATAACCTATTAAATAAAATCTAAATAATGATAAAGTTTTGAATTACAAATATGTTTTATGTAAAAATTATCCAAAATTTTGAAACACCAAAAAAAAATTATTGCTCAAACAAAATTCATTTCCACAAGCAGTTGTGATAATTCCTCGTCCCGAGGGAGAAGTCAAATAAATTTCTGGCGAAGTTTATATAGATAAAAAACTTTATCGTTGGCGATATTTATATTGATTACTATATAAAATAAAAAAAATCAACTTAAAAGTTTTATAAGTTTTTATAAGTTTTTTGACAAATAGGGTCACATCAGGTAAGACCAGTGTTTTGTCATATAACAATTTCTCATGGTAAGACAGTTTAATTTATAAAATAAAAATTCATGTGTGTGATTTTAATTCTAAATTCTAGATATTTTTTACACACAACGTATTCTTCTTCTAGACTTTATATTGAAAAGAGATATTAATATCGGAACTTTACTGTTTAAATATTAGTGGATAATACAGTAAGTTATATATGCTAGAAGTAGAACGAATAGTAAATTATAAACGAGAGGCAGAAGTGAAGAAATTGCGATCCCTAAATCTTGCTTTAAAAATAGTAGAACACAAAGTACTGCTAGTAAAGTAAAGTAAACCAAAGATAGTAAAGATAGGTCGTTATACGCTACAATATCGTTCCTGTACAATCTAAGGATTACAAGATTTGTAAAATATTTAAATATTTTTTAATTTCAAAATATTGTCAAATGTTTGGCAATTAAAAGGAATTTCAAAGAAAAATTAGTCAATTTTTATTATACTCCAAAATTTTCGAAAGATTAAACCGACGGCTGGAATACAATTTGCGGACTTGAAAACTAAATTTACTCTGACAAAAATATTATGATTTAAATGCATCCATTATCCTAATATATCATAAATTCAATACACTTGATTGATGAAACTTATAAACGAAAATTTATATATAAGCTCATTCCATAGCTGAGCCGAGTTCAGGCTGAAGACCCTTTGTAATAGATGATGAATAATGAAAAGTGGCTTTGCAATTGATTTTGTTTTATGCAAATTTTCATTTCATCTACAGAAAACTATCAAAATGTTGAGCTTTTTTCAGTGGCATATAACTTTATAGACCAGTGCATATATTTTCTATGGGGAACTTTTAGTAAAGTGGGCACATTATGAACGAGTTGAATCATAGTTTGCTGATAATGAACTCTACTTACAATTGGCCACCAATACATATAAAAGAAATCGTGTTTTGAACCGGACAGAGTTCAATAACACTTTGGCATGCACTTCACCGACTTACAGTAACAAAATAATATTATAATAAAGTTTATTATTATTATTTGGAATTAAGATACACAAGAGAACTTCAACATATCTATAAATTATTCAATGAAAACTGCACTCAACACCTTCCGACTTTTACGATTACTTGATATAGTTATGAGAATTTTGATAAGAATCACGTTAGTAACACAAATTATAGACGAAAATAAAATAAAGTAGAAAACAAATTTTTAAAATGAAATTAATTAATTTTTTTATGGACTTCGCTCGATTTCGCATTAAAATAAGCTACATAAGTGACTTACAAATTCAAAACGTATTTATAACGAAAAGCATCACACTCATATAGGTATTACTCAACGTCTCAACGTACTTTACAATGTACTTAGAACTTCGATGTAAATAAATATAAGCACTCGTTTGTAATATCAGATACAATATCTGCACTCTTGTACAAAATTTCTGGGCAAGTGTTGGTGTTATCGTTTACTTTCTCCACAGATACATTCTTCTGCATGTAAGCGGCACAAAACTTGTGGACTTTTTGATACTTTTTGGTTAAGTATTTATTTTTGTATTTTATATTTTATTGTTACAATAATATTTGTTTTATCCGCAGTAAATTATTTATTTTTATCTGTACTACGCTTAAATTTAATAGAGTGCAACGGCCGCACTTCACTCTGCTCACCGATTTTCATTATATTTCTTATTTATGAAATTTACTGAAATTTATGTATTTTGCTATTTTTAATTTTTCGGATTTAATAAAATTTAATTATTTTTAATTTAATTTCAATCACAGATTTATAACAGAACACAATTGTTCTTTCACTAAAACTGCATAGCATTTCTTTATTCAAAAGTTTCGGTTCGCTAAGAGCAGTGGTTCACACACGACTATTTAGTTCTGAGATACAAGATACATTCTACACATTTAATAAAATCAAATTAACGCTCTGTTAATAAAAGTATCTGAGATTATTAATGTAATTTCAAAATTGGTGCTCTTTTTTCAAATTCTCTTATAAGAAAATTTTCACATATCTCTTAAATCTCTCAAGCTCATTTAAACATGATCGCTCTACGTGCTGCAATAACCGAATTTTTATATACCATTCAATGCAGCATTTACAGGGATCGAAACAATTATTATTTCAAAAAAAAATCCACTAATAATAAAATAAACGTCAAAAAATAATAATTAAATTTGGTGTTTGCAAAAAGACTTTCTCAAGCACATATAACTTATACATCCTGCTCTTTATGTTAAAACGCAGAAATTATTATTATTATTTTTGCCATAAAAACGAAAAACTGAAAAATAATTAATATTTTTTGCAAGCAAAATTAAAACTCTGTGTTTGCAATTTTTTTTTTAAAACAAAATATTAGTTGCAAGCCGGGCGTTTTATTTTTAAACAGAGCAAAATAAAACGCATTCTGTGCTTAATGGTGTTGTGAATTCATTGACAAAATGTTTCAAACGGTTAGGGCAATTCAAAAATTAATATTTTTTATTTAATAAGTACTGTTATTACAAATCCGATATTTTATTCTTATAAATGTTAAGTAATTTATTTTAAGTGGACTAATTAATTACACAAATTTTTGCTGCTGCTTTCTTTCTTGAAAATGTTTGAAACAACTTTTATTTCACTGAGAATTTACTTTATAATATATGGTCACAATGGATCTCATTGCACACCATTGTTCTATTCTAATATTACAGGTATAGCGTTCAATTTAAGATTCAATATTAAAAAATAAATATTATTATTATACCATATATATCGATACAACATATTGACTATAATTTAATAGTTGGCAATAATTGTGCCTGTAAATACTTTTAAAAAAAATCTACAAAATCAGTTGAGATAAAATAATAACTTTAAATTTAGAACAGTTAATTATTTAAAATTATTTGTATTCAATATTTACTTAATGTTATGTAGTGGATTAGGGTAGTTAACAAATGGCAGATCGGCAGAGTTACAAAAATTAGTACGCGGCTTAGATGAAACTTTGTTCTAGACTATACACAGCTAACCGAAATAGACCTACAAAGCCACGTGAACGGTTTGTATAAATTTTATACTATAAAAGATCCGCAAGAGTTATTGGATTGAAAAGCTGACGAAGTATAGCAAGAAGCAAAACAGAATGGAGGGAAATATTTGGGAAAGCAAAAACACTTACCGATATGTAAAGCCATAAGATAATGATAATTATCCATAAAGTTTTAGGCACTTATATTTATTTATTTTGCTGGATAACTCAATTATATTACAATTAAACTATTATCTACTATAAGGTAATCATTAACAATGATTTAGAATTTTACAATCAAATTATTTAGCATTTAAGCCCTAATAAAAATAAAGGTCTGTCAATCATTTCGGTTCAAAAGATACCTTTCACTTGTTGTGAAACTATTAGTTACTATGGAAATAGTTGATGGTCTCACCTATTAAAAATAAAACAAAAACTAAAACTAAAAGAATCATTACTGCAACATAATTTTATATCATTTAATAAATAAAGAAGCACTGGTAGGTTTATTGCAATGGCAGGTCAGAGTATATCATTCCAAAGTACTACTATAACTAAAATTCAGTATTTGCATTAATCGATCATAAGTTAATTAAGATAAGTATATAAAATCATCACCAATTTAAGAATAATAAATACGATAAAAGCAAAGAAACCTCTTTGAGAGGCGTTGCATTTAAAGGCACTCTAATGCACACTATAACATAAAGGGCTGAAGTTCTTCTAACTTCAGCCCTTTAAGAACTCTAATGGACACTATAACATATACAAAATAAAATAAAGGTAGAAGGACTTCAGTCCTTTAAGAACTGACTCTTTTTTAAAAAAACTCTACGCAAACCCATCTAACTTTCAAAAATGTAGACCGTAAATAGTTTTTAACTATTTATAAGATCTGTGTGAAAATATTAGTATTTTCAATATTATTATTCCAAATTCCTTTAGGAGCATAAGGTTTCTACATAGTTTTTCCAATTGCTTCTGTTTCGAGCTACAACTCTTAGTTCGCTTAACGATTTGACAGTTTCATCGTGAAAAGTCCTCTTCCAGTTTGTTCTCGAACAGCGGATTCTTAGAATATCGCGAAGAAAGCGGTTTGTAAATGATTGCAGTTTATTATAGCTTTTATTTTATTTGTTACTTTCCACGTTTCCCAGCCGTACAACAACACCAACTTAACGCAGGCGTTGAATAACTTGATCTTCATTTCTTGACGTATATCGATCGTACGCCAAATACTTCTTAGTTTAGCATAAGCTATACGGACTCTTTGGATACGGTTTTTCACATCCGTTTTGGCTCCATCGTCGGTAGAGATAACATATTTTCATAACCATATAAATATAGTTTTTATTTAGGAATTTATCCATTCAATTGCCGTTCAGTCTACGACAACGTTTTATCATTCTCACGTATACTATTAATTAAAGAACACATACATTTAAGTAAAAAGAGAGTAAGAAAGTAAAGCTCTTCGAGAAATGAACGCATATATGATTCAAGGGATAGTAAAGCTTCAAGGAGAAAAGTCTATTTTGAAACCTTTGCTGATTTTATAGTTACTGTTCGATATCTTTATATAAGTTTTACCGTAAACCGTAAATATAATCTTTAATGATAAAATTTTATAAAAATTGACAGGACACGAGTTCGATTCCTGGTACTTGCCGCCTTAAAAAATTATTTTCGAATAACTAAATACAAGAATTATTTCCAAGACCACTAATGATAGGTATTTGGCAATACTCGAAACAGCTGTATGGTTAGCCGAAAATTAAATTAATGAAAATAATATAAAATGAATTTATGTTGTTGTTGTTCACTACTGTTCGAAGAACTTCTTCATAAAAATTTTAAATATTTTCCTAAAACTAATGTAATTTAAATTGAAAAAAAACAATATTTAGAATTATTATCAAATTAGCACATAAGTTAAATAAAAAATTTATATAAGAGCATCTACCATAGAAATTAAACAAATAGTTTTATTAATCAACTTGATTCTTTATTTATTTTTGCACAATATCGCACACTTAAAATTTGTATTCATTTAGTTCTTAAATATATAATTAAGCTTTTAGTTTAATCATTATATTATTCTTTAAGATCAACATTCTTTAAACAACTTTTACAATTAGATTTTTTTATAATTTTTATATTTATATAGCATATATAGTATATATATATATATATTTATATATATATTTATCATTCATAATTTGTATTTCTTTATCTTATATTAAAAATGATCTTTTAAAATATATTGTATACTGATAATATTATACTTGAATAAAATAATATTGAACTAAAACTTTTTAAATGTAAAAAAAGTAAAACTTAAAATCCTTTTGATTTCTTTAAAATTGATGAAACGGTTTATTTGGCTTAAAGTTATTTAGTAGTTACGAATGTAATTTCTTGATGCTGTAGATGTTCATTGTATGAATTGGAAGGCTTAGCATTACATTAACTGAATATTATGATTGTGATGGTTTTAAATATATATGTCCATTTAGAATATAGTAATAATTAGATATTAGTGATCAATGTTACAGGTTTATTTTGAAGTATTTTAAAGTTTAAAAATCCAAAGTATCATATTGAATTATTTTTACATTCATTTTATTTAGTACTTTTGATAGAATTACGGGAATACAAACTATATTTTTTATAATTACCTAAGCTCTATTTACGAAGACTTTACATCAACTCAAATTTATGGTATTTAAAAGCGGAAACTACTTTTTAATATATATAGCAGCTTTGACTCTTAGCCAATAAATATATTATAAAAATAAAAGGTCAATTAAAAGTTAAAAACTTAAAGTTTTTTTTATAGTACTAATGCTTAAACAGAAATTATTTAAAAATCTTCGAAGCATAATGCGTTACAAAATAAACAGGACTTTTTATAATTAATAAAAACAAATGACAAAACCTATTTATATTGCCGAGGTGTTTTTGGCAAATGTTTTTTTTTCGAAAAAGTGACAATCATGCGGTGTCAAATCAGTTCAACTCAAATATCAAACGATTAACCTTTTCAATACAGATAATACATCACTCAATAAGTCTCTAATCTAGCTAAGAAAAACTATTTTTTTAAAAAGTTGACTTTGTTCGTCAACATACTCTTCTTCAATAGTGATGCTTGCATCCTAACTTTCCTCTAACTTTTCGATGCCTCAACTTCAACAATTACTTCTCTATTTGAGCTTAATTTTTTTCCTGAAGCATTTTTCTTATGTTTGCAAAAATCTAATAATTGCTGCGAATCCAATTCTGAAGAGTTCGGTGGGTGGAAGGCAATCTTAAGTGTAAAAAAAAAATTAACTATCGTTTCCAAATTGTTGTGGTAACCCGCAGAGATCTATCGAGCTGAAAACATGAAACGAATTAAAAATACGTGGGATGAAATGTGGGTAAGTGATGGTAGTGTGACAGACCAATCGAGAATATAACATAAAAGGAATTAAAAATCTATAGACATGGTTTAGAATGTGGATAGGTGATGGTAGTGTGACAGATCAATCGAGAAAATAACATAAAATGAATTAAAAATGCGTATGTATGAGTTAGAATGGGGGTAGATGATGGTAGTGCGAGAAGGAAGGGATTTATTTAGGAACAACCATGGCTTGGGGTGGTTGAAATTTTAATTGAAATCAACTAGGATTGCGATTGATCTCGTTTTCATATACAAGGCTTGTTGTAGAAGTCGTACCAATTTCGAAAGTAACTAATACATGATCAACAGATAACAACATTACTTTACGATCTTTCAAAACTATTTTAAAGACTATTTTTATGTATTTGAGAACAACTGTCGATGGCGGCTAGAGTATTCAGCACCGTCAGTATTTAACCATGTCCATTCAGTTACCAATCTATATCGCATTTACTCATATATCGTTTGAAGAATGCTATTCTCCACAAATTATATGGGTTTCTTTAATAATCAGTTTTTGCATATGTGTTAGACCGAAGAGTTATTTAGCGATGCAATAATTGCCAATAGATGTTCTCACTACAAATACATATCTTTGTTAAGTTATATTTACTTTGGTCCACAAATATTGGCCATCAAAAAACTGCAAAATGCATGAACATTTGATCACAATTGCTATAAATAGCATTTTTAGATGCTCAATTTCAATTCTAATCAAGTTTAATAATATATTAAAAATTTAATATTAGTTGGATGCAATTAGCTTTTTTTAACCGATAACACAAGCACAAGTGAAATAGTGCCACTTTAGACACATTCTATTCTATTCACATTCTAATGAAAATTTAACAATACCGCAATGAGAGATCTATTTTATCATTTGTCATTTTATAGATGACCTCATAAATAATATATTTTTTTAAAAGTCCTTTTTGCTTTTGAACGCACATTATAAATTCATTTTAAAGTAATCATTAAAAGCTCGATTGTATTCATATTAAGATTATCTTAAAAGTAGTTCTATATAAAAATTATTAAATATAATAGTATTAAAACAAAATAAATAAAATGAGAAAAACAAGTAATGTATGGATAACAAAATTTACTGTGTAACAAATGAGAGTTATTAAAAATAAATTAACTTAAACATAGAGTGTGAGTACATATAATTACATATTCGTTTGTTTAAGGAAAAGGCAGTTGTAAATTTCATTGAAATTTAAACTCTGATTTAAAATTAATTTATAAAAGTTTCTGATAGGTTTTTAATTTGATATATCATTTTACATTCCGTGCGTTGTAAATTTTCATTTATCATATATGTAACAGAATTTTACAACGCACGGTACAAACATTTGAAAATGTAGCTTAGTTTAAAACATTCAGTGTAAAATTTGGCTGCCTGCATCGTTGTTTATAGCGATGCTCTGAGTTTAACACTTAACAAATGGAATTATATATGACTTTTAAATATATTCTCTTCTTTTTGGAAATGCTGTTACAGCGTTTAGTAGCTGCTTATATTATCTGTTACCTTCTTTATAGTTTTTTTTTTTGTTTCTTTTGAAAATCTTTAATAAAATTGTCCATAATAGTCCCATCAAACAACTGAATCCTTACGTATCCTGTAGAATATTTATTAATTTATATCTTATTATATTACATAATATTTACATACCACATATAATTTTCAGTCTGCGGGGCGCGCATAACTCCAACACCACCTCCCAATCTTCGATAATTCATACATCCACAAAGACGCCACTGATTGGTTTCAGGATCATAAACCTCAATCGTTTTTAAATAGGCAGAGCCATCAAAACCACCCACTGCATACAACTGACCATTAACAACAGCCAGACCAACCTAAAATATATTATAAGATCATAAGTGTTTTGTTTACTTTATATATAACTAAGGAAATAGGTTTCACCAATATGTGAATAACTGCAAAGTTAAACTACAAAGTAACTAAATAAAATTATAAAAGTAGTAAGTAATATATAAGTAAGGAGACAGTTTAACTTTAGTATGACTTTGTGAAGAACCTGTATTACTTTCTAAGTGATAATACATAATGAACAACGTTTTAGTATACGTCGTAAAATCAGAATTCATAGTCAATATCGAATTCAGTTTTCTTAATCACAAAATCTTTAATTTAACATAGCAGTCAAAAGCATATTATAAATTATAATCTTGATAAATATTTATTCTGATCTGAAATCGCTCCAAAATAGATTTGGTTTATACTAAAACCACAGCGTAAAGAGTCTGAATTCAAATCGCAATAAAACGCATCTAAACAATTGTTTTAAAAATTATTTTAAAAAAAAATTCTAAGTTTTGTATGAGTAATAGAGGTTTAAGCACTCCTTTAATTCGCAAAAATGTCTACTTTAAATTTACATAAAGTTTTAACTTCCTCTTGAATTACTATGGACCCTCTGGCTCAAAGCCAGATGAACTCAACCTAACTTATTCTGATCAACATTGCTCACAATCTTTGCAGAGCAATTATTTTTTCGTTCGTTAGTCATTACTTTAATATATACTGATACGTATATATAAAAACTTATGTAGTATATTGTAAACTAATGTCACACATTAAACACATTATCACATTAACTCATATACACATATTTTGAAAAACTTGTACAGAGATGAAAATATCTAATTAATTCGTATCGTCGTGGTTTGGCACGAAAAATCTTAATAAATTTGGCAAAGCCTATATATATTTAAATAAGAGGTAGAAAAAACTTACACCACTACGTCTTGAGGTCATTGCTACAATTGGACTCCATGTATTTGTGTGTGGATTATATCGCTCAGCTGATGAAAGCTCCATGCAGTCATCACGTCCTCCAACAGCATAAATGTAGTTATTAAAAACTGCACAACCCAAATGCTTACGGCGTGTGGACATTGGATTTATTGCACACCATTTATTTTGTCTAAAACGAATACAATTAATTATATAATGTATAAACTATTTTGTAAATATTTAAACAAACCTTGGATCATAACGTTCGACAGTATTCAATGGACATTGACCATCTGAACCACCTATTGCATACAGATAGCCTCCAAGTACAGCAACTGCTACTCCTAAGCGCCGAGTAGTCATTGGAGCAACCTTAAAATTATGTTATTAATTGAATTTTAATACACTTTTTATATTGAACTTACTTTTGACCATTTATTCTCCTTGGGATCATATCGCTCAACATGGTTTAAACATTGAACACCATCCTGACCACCAACAGCATACAGAAATCCATCAAGTACTGCTACACCAACGCTAGTGCGACAAGAAGTTGTTGGTGCTACGTCACATGACCATTGGTTTGTTTGTGGATCATATCGTTCAATACTATTTAAATAGCTTTGACCGTCGTGTCCACCAACTGCGTATAGGAGATCATTAAGCACAGCTACACCTACCCCGCAGCGACGTTTGCTCATGGGAGCAACCATTTTCCAATCATTAGTTTGTGGATCAAAGCGTTCTACGGAGGCAATAGCATCACCAGAACACCAGCCTCCTACAGCAAAAAGTACTTCACCACGTCGAGTTGGCTTACGTGGTCGAGTGCGCGGACCTTGCATTAATGGACGTTCTTGAGGAAGCAACAAGTAATTTTTAGCTTCATCAACAAGATCACGACATGCTTCATCTGAACGAACAAGTAAATCTGAACCGACAGTTCCAACAAGAAATTTTGGTGAAAGTAGAGGAAGACGAACATGTTGCAAAACCTTTTCAACAAAAATAGTGGATTATTTTGTTTATATTGAATACATGCAAGATTATTACCTGTGCCAAATGTTGTCTTCGATCACCTACATTATATTTTAGCCAGGACATAACAGCATTGAATACTTGTTCTTCGGAACGGACATTTAACTCATCACTACATATTATGTCCACCAATTGGCCAACAGGTAAAAGTAAAAACTCTTCACTCTCCATAACCTCTTGAAAATTATGTTGGGTGAATTTGTCTGCAATGCGCAACAATTCACGACACGAATGCGTATCAGCGAAAGCTCGGATGCCTAAGCAATTTGTTGGATCCAGTTGACGCTTCAGAAATTCACAGCATATATCTTGAATCTCTACCAACTGCAAAAGACATGCTGCAGGCAATAACGTTTGCACATTAGACTCCTCCACAATTATGTGCGCAGTATAACAAAAATCAATAAGTAACTCCATAGCATTTTCGTCAATGTCACGTATAGTAACCTCTGTCTGACGAGATTCTTCAAGTTCTCCAGTAAACATAGCTCTGAAATACGGACTGCAAGCTGACAGTATAACACGATGAGCAAATATTTTGCGTCCGCCAACATTTAAAACGACATCACATAATTCACGATGACGACGTAACATATTTAACTCGGATAGTGTGACCTTCGGATGCTTCTCGGACGTGTGCGAAAGACGAGCTGGCGACGGTGGTCTATCCACCGCACCAGCTGCGCCACCCACGCCGGTAGCACCCGGTAAAAGGGGATCACCCATTCTGTTTGCCGCCAAACGCAGCGGGGCAGAAGCCCAACCCCACACCGCGTCTATCTATCAAAATTAAATAGTAAAACAATTTTAAATAAAAAACTCTTAAATACAGCCAATATTAAAAATAATAAAATGTGGTTTTCCAGAAATATTGTAGACCACAGTCAATGTTTGATTCGAATAAAAACAACAAAGAAACTAAAAACCGTTGACATATTAAAAGCTGTTTTCACACCTTTTTAAAATTATTCAAACCGATTCTAATCAATTTCTACTCTTATTCCGCAATTACTCATCCTAGATGACTACTTCAAAGTAATACATATTAAGATATTAAATATATATAATATCTTTGCATCAATATAAATAAGAATAAACTTTTTTAATATAAGATAATATGGTAATTATTATGTTATTATAATGAGTTGTGTGATGATCCACATACATAATGAAAACTTTGAACAGGTATGAAAAAAAATTATCAAAATATGAATACGTGAAGTGGTAATAAAAGAGAATTATTTGAGATTGTAGAATCATACAGAAGAGATTAGGTAATGTCAGCGATCAAATATACTTAATGAGGTTACCTTATAGGTGTCTTTAACACAATAGAGGACATTGTAATACGATGCAAATATATAGTTTGATTATATATTAACAGGTATAGGTGTGCACTATATTAGTTTAGATTGGAGTGTTAGCCTTCTGCACCGAATCTCACTTGAGAAAATAATGGATCGTTGTAACATTATGGACTAGGTGTCCATAACGTAGTATTAAATGCATCAAATATAGGATGCATATAATGATGCATCATATATAGATTAAATAATGAATAAAAATGACTGAATTCAATGCGGGAAAACATCGTTTACCCTTTTTATAACTGAAGTTTGCATTTTTTGGAGCAATGCCAACCACAACAATTAGCAATATATTCAACAATTATAAACAAGTACAAAATTATCCTTAGACATAGGAAAAAATAGGGTACCAGCTCCCAACGAAGCAGAGCACCGCGACCATAGTTGATCTTTTGTGCTGCAACAGAAGACGTTCTGCCTATCGATTGAAACCCAGAATGTTAGCCGTTGAGAACCTCCTAATGTCAGAAGGAAGGAAGGAAATTATTCTTATATCTATATCTTATTATTAACTTTAGACGAAACTATGTATACGAACTATGTATGTAAAACTATGTATTTTTTCAGACCATTATTATTTTCATCGGTGTTTATTACATTACTTTATATATAAAATTTTCAAGGTTAAACTCTATTTTGCAATATTTACTGCAGTTTTTCCAGCTAAAATGCGATATATTTAATTCGAGTGAAAATATATACTCGCAAATGATCAGATATAATATAAAAAATTGTTTTAGAAAAAACATTAACATAAACATTAACATTTCCAAATGAACATTTTCTGTTGACGTCACAGCCAAATTTGACCCTATCTACAATCATTTGGATCTATTATGAGCTCAATTAAATATGTAGCATTCCCCTGACCTATTTATGTAAAAACAAAGACATTAAAATTGCATTTCAGAATAATTTAATGTACTGCAGTTTAATTCTGAAACTTTTAAGAAAACAATACGCCCATTCCCATATAATTTTACTTAAGTGAAAAAACTTAGAAAAAACAAATAAAACGTACATACACAATTCCACTTCTGAACTTCCTTACCTTTGCGCCTCTCTTTTCAACGTTGGGTAGACCAAAACCACCGAAACACCAGCAGGCGGAAATTTTAGAAAATGCTATTTTTGCTGCTTCTTTAGATAGACATTTGCATCGAAATTCAATTTACACTTTCAAGGAACATAACAATTTCTATTCGATTAAAAATTTTTACAATTTTCTTCAGACTCTCCAAGCAGTCAATCGAATTTTTCAAATTTCTTTGGATTACAAATTTCATTTAAACTTTGCTATTTAAATTATTTTAATTTAAATAACTATGAAGTTCTCGTACGTTAACAATATCATATTAACGATTTTAATATATATTTGCACTTAATTGTATAAAACTTCTTATTTGCTACTTCGCATTCCGTTTTTCTTCACTATGCATGCACATACACACTTCGATAACACACATGAGCGAACCACTGCTGTCAGCTTTTCGTGGCACTAGGTTGGCACCAATTGCTCATAGGGTTTCCCACACATTTCGTTTTGCACATTTTGTTCATAACACATGCTTTTCAAATTAACATCGGTGAACGTATTTCCTGCATATATATATAACATCTGCATTCCTATTATTCTTTAATAAATTCTTTAATCTATTTTTAAATAAAATCAAAAAGCAATAGTGTTTTTTTATATATTTTATTTCCGACTACAGGTCACTTTATTTAAATTATGCATACGTTTGTTTAATATTTTTTAATATATTATATTTTTGAACACTGCTTGAAAGTCATTGTCCATATTGCACTCCAACAGAACCAATAACATAACGAATTCATATATATTTCATTAATATTTATTAATGCTTATTAATTAGTTCTTATCCTGATGATGACTCTCAAGCACAAACGAAATTTACGATTGAATTTTTTAAAAAAAGTTGTTTTTTTTTACATATGCATATAGGCAGTACGAGATCATGCATGATTTTCAAACTTCTAACATTACTAGTTAATACCACATGAGTAGCATTTAACACTGTCTTATTTTTCTCGCAATTGTCTTACAAATTTTTACTTTTATTTTAATGATTGTGTTTTGTATTTATTCACGTATTGCACTTTTTAATGAACACAGAAATTATAAATTCCTTAATAAATAATTAACTTCTTCACAATTACTAACCGATCAGTCAATTTCACAAATTTTAATAAAAAAAAAATATTTTTTTAAACTATTTATATTTTATCAATAACACTTGCAACAGTTGTAAATAATAAACAGTTGACTGGAGTTTTCCATTCTTCCAAAATCGTTCACAATAGATCAGTTTCAACATTTGCCACCATTGTAGTGCGAGAGGCTTATTCGTTACACACTTTCAGGAAAGTGTGCTTATTTTTGAAAAATAATTTTTTGCTTTGCATGTTAATTTTTAAGAGACACGTGTTCTATTGAACCATTCATGTCGAAAGAATACACCTATTAAGAAATTTTATGCACCAAATTTTAAAGTGCTTGTAAAAAAATGAATGATACTCAATTCTTAAAATTGCTAAATTCTTAAAATTTCTTAGTAATTTAAGTTTACTAAAAGAGTTTAACATAATTTTAAGAGAAATATTGCTTTAAAGTATTATATAAACACATTTAAAGCAGTTTGAATAATGACAATTAACTGCTAGTAACTACGAAAGTATTTTCAGTTATTTAAAAATTATATATAATTAATTGCTTTAATAAATCATACCAATATTAAATTGGCAACCGTATTAACATAACAGCTGAGTTAATAACCATTGGGCCTATTTACACTATCATGAACATGAACATGAACTTGAAAACCTGTTACCAATAGATGAGAGAGGGAAGCGAGTGTAATGTGAGTTCATGAATTTCAAGCAATGAAATTTGCTGCGTTTCTTCAGCTTGACACGCATACATATGTTATGCAATGTTATGTTTATGTTTACCTTTTAATGCTGAATACTTTGAAATTATGTGCACTGTGTGTAGTGTACACACAAAGATTTTATACGTTTACACAAAACAAAACAAATTTCACGCTCATGAGAGTTTATGATAGTGTAAACTGAACTGACAGTTCATGTTGTCGTCAAGTTCATTTTACGTTCATAATAGTATAAATAGGCCCATTAACTTTAAATTAATTTATTTTAATAATTGGCATTAATTGTAAACGAATAGCAATAAATTGCAAATTGCCTTGCAATTATTGTTTATTGCCATGAAGGTATTTGAATTTTTTAAGAATTAATCACTAAACATACTCAATGTTAGCATCTACAGACTTTTATAATAAATGTATTCGACATCTCCGAAGTATTGCATAAAAACAACAACTTGCTTACTAAAGTCGTTAACTTACAAATTGGCATCACTGTTGCAATTTGTCATATATCATGTTTTCACAAAGCGTACATTTTACATTATGTGCACATCATATGCAAGCAAACTATATTTTGTATAAAAGTAAATAATTAATAAAAAAATTAAAATTAAAATGAATAAATAATTAAATGGCGTTTTAATTACAGCGTTTTCTATGTGCAACTATTGCTTATTTAACAATTTTACAACAATTATACATAAAATATTTGCATTTTCTGCACTTTTCATGATCAATTAATTACTACTAACAATACGAAACTAAATATTTGTAGTGGTTTTTTATGTTGGGGTTTATTTCGAATTTAACACTCCGTATTGGTAATGGATAAGTTAATTTAACACTCCGTATTGGTAATGGATAAGTTTATTTATTTCTTATACTTAGTTATTATAAAATATTCTTAAAGTTAAGATTTGTGTTTTTACGTTTTATTCACGTGCTGCTTTGTCTTTTTCCAAACTACTACTGGCGGGAACTGCGGCTATTGTTGTCTCCTTTGTGCCTTGTTGACAGTTCTTTTATTTATATTTTTTGGTGCTGCCACAGTACTCCCCCCTAAGTGATGGAGTCACTGAATTTGGTTGGAAAGCGAACGTTGCGTCCTGGTTTTGTCAGGTTAGCTGTTGTATTTGGTCGCACAGACTGGTCGCCATTAACGTTGTTTGGAGTGTGGTATACCATTGATTTGTTGTGGATGTCAATGTCTGTATCGGGACATATGAAAGCAGCTTTAAGACGATCTATGCTAACTGTTTGTTCTTTGTTTTCGATCAGTATTCTAAACGTCTTGTCATTTCGCTCTAGTATTTGGTAAGGACCATCGTAAGGTTGCGTCAATGGTGGTTTTACCTTGTCATTTCGTATAAATACATGCGTGGCTGAGCTTAGAGCCGGTTGGATGTGGTAGCCTCGATCTATATGATGCGATACCAACGTTGCCTTGACGCTCTGCATTTGTTCTCTTAGCTTGGTTATGAAATCGTGTTGATTTATATTTCTGTGGCTAGGGTTGCTTACTATTTCGCCCGGTAAACGTAGAGTTTGGCCATATAGCATTTCAGCAGCAGAAGCTCCAATGTCTGGTTTAAAAGTCGTGCGTAGACCTAACAATACTATTGGTAAAACTTCTGTCCAAGAAGTTGTTTGGTGGCACATTAAGGCTGCTTTTAATGTGCGGTGAAATCGTTCCACCATTCCGTTACTTTGAGGATGGTAACTCGTAGTTCGTAAGTGTTTGCAACCGATAACTTCAGCTAGTTGGTTGAACAATGAAGATTCAAATTGTCTTCCTTGGTCTGTTGTGATACGTAAGGGTACGCCAAAACGTGCGATCCATTGAGTAATCAGTGCGTTTGCGATGGTTTCCGCTGTTTGATCTGGGATCGGAATTGCTTCTGGCCATCGGCTGAAACGGTCGATGATGGTTAATATATATGTGCAGTTGTTTGATGGTGGTAGCGGGCCGACGATATCTATGTTTATATGTTCGAATCTGTGTTCAGCGAGTTCATATTGACAAATAGGTGAACGGTTGTGACGTTGCACTTTAGAACGTTGGCATGGGATACATTGTCGGGTCCAGTTTCTGATATCAGCATTTATAGAAGGCCAGAAAAATTTTTCAGCTATCATTTTTGTTGTGCCCCGAATGCTGGGATGAGACAACCCATGCGTAGCTTTAAAGATATGTAGCCGGTATTTCTGCGGAATGTAAGGACGAATTCGCCCAGTTGAAACTTCGCAATAAATTTTATCTGATATTGTTGGTAAAGATAAAAGTTTGATTTCGATGGAATTGTTGTTTTTGATATCTTGTAGTTGTGGGCAACATCGTTGTAATCCAATTATACAATCGTAGTCGATTTTTGGGATGCTAATACTATCTATCCGCGAGAGAAAATCTGCTGGGATGTTGTCTTTTCCGCTGACATGAACGATATTCGTTGTAAATTGACCTATATAATCAAGCTGTCGGACTTGACGTGGTGAAGCCTTGTCGGACTTTTGCTGGAATGCGAACGTGAGTGGCTTGTGGTCAGTTATTAATACGAATTCACGACCTTTTAACATATGTCGAAAATGTTTTATGCCCTGATATGCGGCTAACAACTCACGATCGTATGTGCTGTATCGTTTTTGTGTATCTGTTAATCGTTTAGAGAAAAAACCGAGTGGTTGGAACGTGCTGTTTGTCACTTGATGAAGAACTGCGCCGAGAGCTTTATCCGAGGCGTCTACTTGTAATGCAAGCGTAGCAGTTTTTGACGGATGAACAAGTAGTGTCGAGTTTGTTAGTTCATCTTTACATTTTTGGAAGATTGTTTTGTTCACTTCGGTCCAGCATAACGGTGTGTTGTCGTTCTTCTTGTTTCCTTTTATCATTTGTTGAAGTGCAGTTTGAGAATCTACAGCGTTTGGTACGAACCTGCGATAAAAGTTAAGTAATGCTAGAAATCTTCTTAATTCTTTTGTTTTTGTTGGAAGCGGGTACTCGCTGATGCTCTTCACTCGATCTGGTAGAGGTTGAATGCCCTTTTCACTGATGAGATAACCAAGAAATTTTACTGTGTTTTGAGCAAAAACGCATTTTGATACGTTTATTATTAAACCATGTTTTCTGAATCGTTCGAATACTTGTTGCAAGTGTTGCCTGTGCTCTTCCTCGTTTGCTGATGCAATAATGACGTCGTCAATATAGGCAAAGGCGAATTCGAGATCTCGTAATACTTCGTGAATGAAGCGTTGAAATGTTTGACCTGCATTGCAAAGTCCAAATGTCATGTTAGTAAATTCAAATAATCCAAATGGAGTTATGATCGCCGTTTTTGGAATATCCCCCGGTTCAACTGGTATCTGGTGATATGCCTTAATCAGGTCGATGGTTGAAAAAACTTTTTGGTTATATAGCATGTGTGCAAAATCATGTATGTGAGGAACTGGGTAACGATCTGGGATGGTGATTGCATTTAAGCGACGGTAATCTCCGCAAGGTCTCCAACTACCGTCTGGTTTTTTTACCATATGTAAGGGGCTAGCCCAATTGCTGCTTGATGGACGGCATATTCCGGCTGTGACTAAGTTTTGGAATTCTTCTTTTGCTGCTGCTAGCTTGTCTGGAGGTAACCTACGTGGTCTCTCACATATTGGTGGACCTTTTGTTAATATGTGGTGAGTGACTTTGGTCACCTGGCGATTTGTAGGTGTTGGTTTAGTGATGTCGATGTATTCTTTTAGTAGATCTGCAATTTTGCAAGATGTGTTCACAGTTGATATTTTTTGCGCATTTACCTTACGTTCACTTGCGGCTGAGAAAATCTTTGTTGATGTGTCGATCAATCGTTTCATTTTTATGTCTACTATTAATCCGAAATGATTTAAAAAATCTGCACCGATGATTGAAGTGTTTACATCTGCGATAATAAATGGCCATGTGAAATTTCTTCGTAAGCCAAGAGCTAGAGTTATCTCTATTTCTCCAAATGTTTTGATCATAGAACCATTTGCTGCGTAGAGTATTCTTTCGTTCTTATTGTTTGTATTTGAATTTTTTTGTTTGGCGGCAATAAGTGAAACATCTGCACCCGTGTCTATTAGGAATGATTTTTTTGTCTTATTGTCATAGACGAACAGTCTTGTAGATGTTTCGTTTACAACTTCCTCTGCCGCCGTAGACGAAGTCGGTTTTAGTTTTTTGTGCCATATGTGCATGGCTGCTTGCAATTTTTTGCATTTGACCCATATGTTCTATGATACCAACAATTTGTACTGGTCTTTTCTTCACTATCATCATGACATTGCCGGTTTCTGGATGTTGAACGTGAACGTTGATTTGTTCTTGAGCGGTGTTCGGTTGATAATTTCGAGACCATTTTCGTCAGTCTGGTCACTTCTCGTTGAAGTTGTTCGATTTGTGCATCACGTTGAATATGAGCTGCTGCAGGGACGTTAGCTGCATTGACGTAAGTTCCTTGCATTGTTGAGTTTATACGGATTGTTTCGGTTATGTTGTCTGCCAATTCCGCCATCTTAGGTAGTTCCACTTGAATTGTGGCTAGACATGTCTGTACTTCTACAGGAAGACGTTGTAACCATAACCCTTTCAGTAATTGTTCGTCTTGTTTGCTTCCACTAATACGTTGCAATTCGCTTAAAAGATGGGATGGCTTTTTATCCCCAAGCTGTAAACCACTAACTAATTTTTGTATGCGTTTTTTTTCACTATCCGCAAAGTTTTTTATTATTGCTTGCTTGATAGCTTCGTACTTCTGAGTTGCTGGTGGATTCTGTATTGTGTTATAAATTTGTTCTAACAGCGATCCATCCAATGCTGCGATAACTGTGCCAAACTTTTGAGTATCGCCCTTTATGTTGTTGACTTGGAACCAGTAGTCCAACTGAATAAACCAAAGGTCAATGTTGTTTTTTATTAATGTTGGCATCGGCAGCTTTATTGCAGTGATTGTTGCGTTTTCATTGATTGGGTTAGTGTCTTCGGTTATCTTTTGCTCTTGAGTAGCCATTTTTTTTTATATATTCGACGTCGGCTTGGTCACCAATGTAGTGGTTTTTTATGTTGGGGTTTATTTCGAATTTAACACTCCGTATTGGTAATGGATAAGTTAATTTAACACTCCGTATTGGTAATGGATAAGTTTATTTATTTCTTATACTTAGTTATTATAACATATTCTTAAAGTTAAGATTTGTGTTTTTACGTTTTATTCACGTGCTGCTTTGTCTTTTTCCAAACTACTACTGGCGGGAACTGCGGCTATTGTTGTCTCCTTTGTGCCTTGTTGACAGTTCTTTTATTTATATTTTTTGGTGCTGCCACATATTATTTGCCTAGAGCTTTCACAAAACTATTTGATACATGAAACCTTCATCACACGCATAAATCAACTTATCCCAATGGGAACGATCAGATTTTAAGTCTATTAATATATATTTTTATAATTTTTATAATTATTTGGCGATTCCATTCTTGAAATAACAGGTCTGTTTTACGAGCTACTCGTAGTAACTTTAGTAACTTTGAGTAACACTGTGTATACACAAGTGCGTTCCACCAGCAAATTTTCGAGTAAATGAAGCATCTGAGAGAGCGTATCATCCTTATCGAAATTTGAAAATACTACACAGACTTGTGTTGATGTGTGAATCAGCTGTTTTGGTTTGAATTTACATTTATGTATTGTTTATTTGTGCGGCAGTGGTGTTCTCACCAGATCTTACCAAAGATTTTACCAAATAGCGTAATTTGTGTTACGCTCTCAGTTTGTACTTTACTTATGTTTTACTTGAGTTTTACTATGAGTAGCTCGTGGAACAGACCTAATTCCTAATAACAGAAATAACACACAATACAATTACACAATATTTATATCGAAACAGTCGCCCAAATGTTTGGCCGCTTCACAACTATTTGCTTAGATAGAGAAAATAATGTTTTGCACACAAATTAGCAATTTTAAGTGAGCAACTAGATGTTTTTTGCTATACTCATTAGCTTCCGCAAGCATCTGATGATCTCTGTGAATTTCGTTCGCATAAACAGAAATTGTAAATTATTGTTTTTATGATCTTTCTTTGTAACTTTTGCGGCAGTCAGCTTAGTTTTCTGTACATATATATTTTTCATGCTTTAAAAAAATGAAACTCAACTCGTGGCAACTCTATTCATACAACAGGGTTGGTAATGATTTTTATGAGTTGACAAAAGTTAATCACGGCTGGCAGCAGTAAAAGTTTAGTTGTGAACTTATTGAAGCTTTATTTGTTTATTAAAAAATAAATTGCAAATTTTGATTCATTTTATATATATAAAGAAATATTTCATTAAAACCCTAATTGTATTTTTAATTAAAACTTTAGGAAATATAAACGGCTGCAAAGTTTAGTTTATTTAAATATAATGCAGAGTGTATTCAATACTGTCAAAGGAACAGCCCTAAATGTAGCGGAGTACCTGACACCTGTTTTGAAGGTACCCTTTTCCACATATATTGACATTGTCATATAATGCATTTAATATTTTTTGAGGAATCCAAATTCAAAGAAACTGGGGTGTTAACACCAGAAGAATTTGTTGCTGCGGGAGACCATTTGGTCCATCACTGTCCAACTTGGCAGTGGGCTGCTGGTGACGAGGCTAAAACAAAACCTTATCTACCTAAAGGTTGGTCATATTTACATTTAGCTTCTTCTTAATGATTAAATAAATTTACTAGATAAACAATTTCTTATTACACGTAATGTACCGTGTTATCGACGTTGTAAGCAAATGGAATATGTGGGAGAAGAGACTGTGGTTGAGGAAGAAGCTGGAGACGGTGGTTGGGTTGAAACACACCAATTAAATGAAGATGGCACAAATGAACTAGATGACAAAATATGTGAATTGACTTTAAATGAAAACAAAGTATGTTTTATGCCGCAAAATATGTTAATAGTGACGTGTAACGTAATATATACTTTAAGGAAGAAATGAATACACCTGATAATGAAGACGAGTCTGGAGCCAACGACATGAATGATGATTTTGACGATGATGATGATGACGATGCAATCGATATGGATGAATTTGAAGAGAGTGGTATGCTGCAATTAGTTGATCCTTCAGTAGCTACTACTACGAGAAGAACAGAGAAAGACAATGCGTGCTCCTCAAATGCTACGTTGACTACTTCTACTGATGCGGGTGATTCCGTGCTTCATACTCGCACATATGATTTACATATAACTTATGATAAATATTATCAAACCCCACGACTATGGGTGGTTGGTTACGATGAGGTTTGCATTTAAGAACACATTATTAATGAATGTTAGAATAAATTTTTGACATATTTTTTAAGAATCGAAAACCACTGACTGTGGAACAGATGTACGAAGACGTCTCACAAGACCATGCTAAAAAGACTGTCACAATGGAAAGTCATCCGCATTTACCTGGTCCCAACATGGCATCAGTGCATCCTTGTAGACATGCTGATATTATGAAAAAGATTATACAAACTGTCGAGGAGGGTGGCGGAGAATTAGGTGTTCACATGTATTTAATAATTTTCCTGAAATTTGTGCAAACAGTCATACCAACTATAGAATATGACTTCACACAGAACTTCACAATGTAATGAAAAAAGGCTCGCATTGCTGAATGGTTTGACCAAAATATTTAATGCCTATTTTATCTTATCACTGACAAAAAATTGACATGTTGCTTAACTCAATTGCTTTTAATATATATATTTGCCTAAGCTTAAAGCACTTCTTATAAGTACATTGATGTTCTTCGATTACAGTCATTTTTGATTACAAACATATATATCGTGTAAATATTCGTAGTTAGTGTCTGAATAAAGTAAAATGCTGCGTTTGAGATCACAGAGCATATTCAACGATTTTTTTAATTATAATTACTTTTATCTATTTTTTTTAAACAAATATGATGTGATTCAGTGGACTCAACAATTATTTGATTTGTAATTAAAACTAAATAATATTATATTTTTAATTAGTCATTGAAAATTGTTCGGCGACACAGTGACAGCTGTTGCAAAGCGCGGAT